TCCCTTCTCACTCGCACTTTTCCATCTTCTCTAACTACTCTGTCATGGTATCTCAGGCTCTCCTGACCTGACCTCATTTATTACCTCCCTGCCCTTTGTCCCCATTTCCATTCACTCCCCTCAGAACAGAGAAAAGGATTCCCCAGTGATCACATCACCTCCAGGGTTGGGTCTTCCCTCCATGCTCATTGCTTCTTCCAGGAGTTCGTTCTCCTCTCCAGTGACCACAGGTTGCGTGCACGCCAATTTAAACACACACACACATGCCTGGCTACCAGTACATAGCTGTCCCACTGCAGAGCATTCTACCAGCTGCACTGGTCCAACACAAAGAGGGCTGGTGCCTGGTGGGATTGAGCACTCAGGCTGAGCTGGAGCTTGAAGTCACCCTGCAGGGAGTGGCATGGAGGGGAGATGATATTTCAACAACTCTTGTGTCAGCTTGATTCCTACTGGACACTCCTTGCCTACAAGTAGAACTATACAGACCTCAGCTCCCACGCCTTCAAAATAATCATGAAGGGAAGGAAATGGCGATGAGGAAGGAAATAGAGATGGGGAAAAGGAACATTCTGCAATTGGTCTCATGTTATGAATAATCATGCAGCTTCACAACAGGCAAGACCTGGCCTGTTTCTTCTGGGTTGGGCTTTGATTTGAGAGTGTAAGAGGGGCAAGTTCAATGTGGCTCCAGTAAAATTCACTTTCCCTGACTAGTCAAGTTTATCTCAGTTTCTGGTCTATGTAATCTGATCATGCCATGCTCTTCCCATCTGACACAAACTGCTGCCCCATGACCACCACCATTGACCCACTGCCTCTTTATCCTTTCTGTCATTCACTTGCACAAAATCTCTGTGTCATTCATGATGTTCTGAATGACTGTACATTGGCTTTCATAACCCTGTTATAAAGATTGAACCATGTGAGGGTAGAACTGGTGCCTAAGGAGCCCTACAAGGACTAGAGGGAATGGTCAGAGAAATAGTGCTATAAGCACCCATCTGCTGACCTGACCCATCATCCTGGGATGGGGCCTGCTGCCTACACCCACAGGTTCCCATGGCTCATAAGGTCCAAGGACTAGTACCTACACTGCCCATCCCGAAAGGACATTGATGAGACTGACCACAGGCATCTGGGAGTGATGGGGAAGTGTTTGTGGAAGCAAAGATAAGCTTGTTGTCTTTCTGCCAAAGGGAAAAAGCACAGGCAGATTTTGCTGAATGTCTCTGGATATAGATGAAAGAGAAAACAAACAGGAATTATGTCTGTCTAGGGGCTACTACAAAGCCAAGGGAGGCTTTCCACAGAACACTGCTAGAAGCCTCCAGAGGACAGGATGGAAGGATAATGGGAGCCATTAATTAACCAGGTATCTGTGGATAAGCAATCAGCCAGTACACGCATGCCCCACCAGGGTGCAGAAACAGGCTCTGTTTCACACAGAGGGAAACAGGACTAGGAACTCATGGATGGAAAGACCAATGAATGGGAGTTTAGTTTGTACACTTTGACTAGCAGCTTTGTCCCTAAATACCAAGTATTTTGATGCTTCTTGGATTCACTTTTGGTCTCAATTTTACTTTTCTCTATTTATGCTCTAGTAAAAAATTCAACTGCACTCCAGTGCCCAGTTTACATGAAACCATGGATCCTTCTACTTCCCCTGAAAAAATCTAGTCCCTCTCATTGATCTGGCTTGACTTAACTAATAACTAGATATAATTATTGTGGCATGCTCTCAACTGCATGCACCTGAGGTGTTTATGTTTGGGATCTGCAACTCCTGGTAAAACGGTTCCTCTTAGAGTTAAAACAGCTTTCCAAATGCAGCACCATGTCTGGCACTATATTGTCTTCCACATTTGTGGCACATCTGTCTGTTAGCTCTCTTGCTTAGCACATTCCTTGCCAATAGAAATTTCCACCCTGTGAGATGGCTTTTTCTGGTCACATTCTTTCAGGTTCACTCCATGGAATACCCCTTTTGGTGCATTCCTCTCAGCAGCCTGGGCCTTCACAGTTTCTGCTGCCCAAAATATTTGGGTTGTCTTTTCCAGGGACAAATTTCCCTCATGCAATAACGTTTCTTTCAATGCAGTCTCATCAGTGTCCCAATGAATTCTATCTCTAACCAGAGATTCTGTCAAGTTCCCCAGAGCACAGTTCTTACTCATTTTCTTTAGTTCAGTAACATACTGATGTAGACTTTCTCTTGCTGTTTGCCTGCACATAAGAAATCTGTGTCTTTTCAAAGGTCTCATTCTTTTTTGGCATGCATTGCCACTCAGCTTTGGACACTATTACACTTAACTGCATAATTTGGCCTTCTTTGAAGGTAAATATCTGGGATGGGCAATAATAGCTCTAGGGCCCAGTTTTGGTATGGCTCTTCCACTTTGTGCAGTCAAGCATGCACAGTTGGGTTGCACAGTTCAAAGATTTGCAGAATGCAGTGAACTTGAACTGTTGTGGTCATTTGACCTACTTTTAGGGTGTGATCCTGCCCAGTGCTTGAATGGTTTTACCTGCTGAGATAAAATTGAGTGATTGGCAGGTAGGGTGCTGTTTACAACAGAAGGTTTTTAAGGCCTGGTTCAATAAAGCCCTAGCTGGAATGATCTAGTTGGGGATGGTTCTGCTTTGAGCAGGAGGTTGGACTACATGACCTCCTGAGGTCCCTTCCAACTTGAATTTTCTATGGTTCTGTGAATGGTAGCATGTGCACAGGCATGCAGTTGAATGCCTGTTGCTGAGCTGTTAGCACATATAAGCCCACCTGAGAGTAAGTGTGAGAGGGGAGAGACACTGAGGAAGGTGTATGCTTTTGCCAGTAGTCCAGTGAGTTAGATTCTTGGAAGATTCTGAGAGCAGGGGCTGCTAATGGATCTTTGATCTGTGGACTGGGTCTCTTGAGAGAGCTGATATCCTGCCAGCAGTAAGGGTGGAAGCAGCCACGGAGTGCGCTCTCCTTAGCCTAGCAGTGAGTGGCCTTCAGAGATCAGAAGCATTCATACATGAGAACTGGGGTTATCTGAAGGTGTGCAATGTTGGGTGAGAATGCCTGAGAGATTAGGATTCTGAAAAGGTGTGTGTGTGCATGTGTGTGCACGTGCATGTGTGTGTTTGTGTGTGTGTTGTGTGCGCATACAACAGAGCACAGAGTATGCTGTTACTCACAGGGGTATGAGCAGCAGCAAGGCAGCCTACAGCTGGCTGCAATCCCAGTTAGGCACAACTGCCTGATTGGGAACAGCTGTTCCCTATAAGAACTTGGAGCAGTCTGCTGCTATCAGCTGGGAGAACATTATCCAGCTAGAACTGCTTCTCATAACATCTTGGAGGTATAGGGTAATTGCTATGGGGATGGCTGGAGGCTTCCTGTCTTGGGACATGACCTAAAACAAAGAGGGTCCCGAGCCAGACTTGGAGCCCTAAGTTGGTAGGGGCTTGGAGCCCTGAGTGGGTAGGGGCTGGGAGCCCCAGTGGATTGAAGGAGAGCTCAGTATGAAAGCACAATGACTGTGAGCACCAGTGGGGAGTGAGAGTCCCACATGGGACTATGGAGCACGGGTCCCAGTGTGAGGACATGGGCTTATAGGCCAAGTGTTAGGTCTAACAAACTAAGGCTAGGTGTTAGGCCATGGATGCCATCTGTGAGGCATAGAACATGGTATAGGGAAGGTTGGAGCCTTATATATAGGCCCTTGGCATCTGGGCAAGTAAATGGGCAGCCTTCTACCTTATTGACATCATCTAATTCAGTGCTTCTCAAAGTGGTGGTCTGCAGACCAGTGCCAGTCTGCGAGCCACCAGTCGCCAGTCCGCAGCAAGTTGCCAGGAAAGAAAGAAATATATTTTCAGCAGCATAACATTGATATGTCATAGCACCACAGTTTGTATGTTCCAACACTCCAGGTGATGTCACGTCATGCGAGGTGAGGAAAGAGAAAGAAACAGCCAGTCACCCATTTGTGTAGCACTGTTACACACAGTTGCTGCCACCAGCTGAACCGGGCACTGGTCCCTGGCCCACTGGAAAAAAAATTGATGGTTTGCCACATCAGATAGTTTGAGAAGCACTGATCTAATTGATACCAACTAAGGCATGGCAGGAGAGGTAGGTGGCAATTGCCCTGAAACAAGTGGGTGGGCCAACGATTGAACCAGCCCCAGGATGCCCACTTGTTACAGTGTGCATACATGCACCAAGGGTTTGTGTAAGGGCAGTGTGCCTTGCTCTCTTGAGGACTGAGTGTCTGGTCCCATAGGTAGAGCTAGAGGGCAGCGTGTTTTGATCTCTTGGATACTACTTGAGGGACAGAGAGTAAGGGCTTGAAGGACCCGGAAAGCCAATAGCTCATCCTAATTATGCAATTACAACAACATTAATTGTTGTTGATTGTTATTGTTAGTACTGTTGTTTTGTTGTTGCCCCTTTTATTAAATATTCCTTTCCCCCTTTGGTGTGTGGAAGTGGGTTTTATTTAGGGATTTAATCAACTATTATTAGTGTTTGATAGATGGCCTTCACCCATAAGTGCCCCAATCATGAATTTAATTGTTGATTGGACTTCTGGTTAACAGACTGGTGATCCAGGTGGGACTGATTTGGCATAATTTGACTAGCCACCCAATGGCTTGGCACCCCACATGGGGCCTCAGACTGTGTGTGGATTAGCTACTCAAAATAGTAACCCAGTTCTATACCAACTTGGGGTGTCTCAGTCATGTCCTGGGGCTTAAGTGGTTTGGGGACAGACCTTTCAAAGGAAGGACATGGCAGGAAGTTCTGCATCTGCCTGTGGATGTTATGGAGACAATGTTGGTCATGCCACCTCCAGAAACTAAGAGAATCCAACCTTGGGGGCAGCAAGGAATGATAAGTTGTTTCCACAGTGCACTGCAGACTGATTTCTTGAAGGGCGGTGCTTTGGACAATACTAAAAAGACTGGGGCCTAGCTTTATAGATGTGCACATGTGGACAGGTGGTTAAATCATAACTGCTGGAGTCATGGACAGATGGACATGATACACAGCTCTGAGGGTTGGGCCTCGACTCCTGCATCCTCCTTCTGGCAACTAAACCTCACTTTTCATCTTGCAGTTGCAAGGCCACTTGCACACGAAGATAACCCCGATATGAGCATGATACACCCCCAGAACAAGGGCAGTTGTTATACTTAGCAGCAGCAGCTGTGATATAGCAGGAGGCATTTTCCCTCCACCCTGCTCACGTGAAGCCTCCGGTTCTCTTCTTGCTGTTCTTCCCCAAACTCCTTGGCTGAGGGCATAGGCAGAATAGTGATGTACAGTATTTCCTCCAAGCTGTGTGGTATGTGCAGC